CAAGAGTTGTAAAAATTAAAGAACTCCAATTGCCACCTTCTTGCATTTATACAGCACTTTTTATCAGCTCACCACAAAGGTCTTTGCAAATAACAACTAATTAAGCCTCACAACATCCCTGAAGTTGGTAATTATTCCTATTTTGCTGGCCATAGAACCTGAAGCCATAGAGAAATTGTTCTCATGTGCTTTAATAACTACTCACTTACTGAAAGGATTTTTATTCAAGTTTTCCAGAAAGCTTGCCCACTTTCTTGGGCAGAGATGCAGCAAGAGAAATTTCAACATAGTAATTTCCCCCAAAATATTTTATTAGTATAGAACTTGAAAATAGGAGCTTATTGAAAATGCTTCCTCAGCCATAATTATAGCATCACTATTGGGGTGCTAGAAATATATTTTAAGATATCAATAATTCAAAGAAACTGAGTCCAAACCATGCTCCTTTAAAATATCAGGATAACTTTGTGTTTGGCCATTATATGAACTAAACATCAGTGTTACTTATTAGCTGGAAGGGAATCTGAAACGGAAGTCATCTACCACTGTTCAACACTTTTGTTAGATATATAATCAGAGGAAATTATCCACTAGTCAGTGAATTCGTAGACTTCAGAGCACCTTTTGTAGACTCCAGGGCAGGGTAAAGAAGAATGCTCTTAAACTATTCCTCTTCTACTCCTGTCTTTCTCAGACTAAGATAATTGGCTTCTAACTACTTAATATGGGTGTGCAATTTTGAATATACAACATCTCAATTCAATTGTTTTCCTTTATGTCTTAATGCTAGATATATTGATAACTTCTCAATGAATACTTAATTGATGAAGCATTAGGCATGGTGCACTGTTGTAAACAGAATTGTGAAAAGCTTACTGACATTGAAAGCAGTTGTTGCAAGTTATGTCAAAATATATGGGGCTTGTTATAAATACACAGTGTACCAATATTAAGAAACTAAATGTAGATGAATGCAGTAATATCAGATCGCCTAAAAACGAAGAACCAAATGAACAAACGGAAGCTATATGAAATTCCAAGAAACTGAAAGTTCAAGGCACTGGAAAGAACAAATTATTTACTTGACATCCATGAACAGTACAATGGCTCCATTACAAGACATACAAAAGTAGTGTTACTATATTTGCTTTTCATAGCCCACTTCATAAACATGAATATTAAAAGAAACTAGTAACAAGAATGCCTCCTTGTCAAGGCTACATCAGACAGAATGGTAGGACAACCTCTACTTTTCACTCTAAAATGGTTTAAATTCGAAATCTGAGTAACTGAAAGAAAAGAAAAATTACTTCTCTCGTATAATCTAAATTAAAAAAAAAAGATATTGCAATGAATAATTTGTTTCTTGATCTGAAGCAGCACTACTTCACCATTCAGATGATTAGTAACTGAACCTGCTTTTAAAGACCCACTTCTATAATGCAGCTTGTATATTCTGCTACGAAGTATGTAATCAATAGTACAGTAGGAAGTTTTTACAAGTTATAGATGTAATTTACAGCCTCTGATCAGAGGGGGAAAATCCCCTCCCTTTTTAAAGCACCTAACGATCTACAGATATAAATCACTGTAAGTGGCGTGTATTATTTTTAGAAGTTTAAACAAGTAGTAAGAAAGGGAGACTAGTAAAAATAACTAGTCTCATATTTTCAAACTCTCTGTGGTAGAGAACAGTCAAACTACAACCACTCTCTCAAATGTAGGCAAGGAACGGGTTAGAGGGTAATGCTGAAGCAGGCCAACAGGGGAATCTGAACTTTGGGGAGCAGGGGGGAAGATTCAGCTTAAATTTCCTGTTACTATGGAATGAACCAGTCTAAGCCAATGAATTTTAAAGCCTTTTGAGTTTTGCCAAATATTGGAAAAAATATACCTGACCTTAAAAGTCTGCATTAGCCCAAGGGAGCTTTCTTTCACATCCCATTTGGAATACAATAGAATTACTTCAAGATCTACTTCCCCATTTCTGGATATGATGGAAGGCATCAGTTTTCTGCAATAATCAAAGAGCAAACCAAATCGAAGTGTCTCTCCTATATCAGCAAAAACATAAAAGTTTGAAAAATGCATTGCTGCACTTTCTATACCTCTTATATCTCTGAAAGTTTTTATTAAGCTTGACTAAAGATATTCTCTTTCTGTCAAACCACACATGCAAATGTGAAGTAAAAAGTTATCTTTCACTGTCTTAAAGGTTGGGAAAAAACATCAAACTTATAATGAAAAGTTGATTACTAACTAGAGCTGCTTCCACCTCTCCATACTTTCATAAGGACAACTCTCAGAATTAGTTCTGAATATACTAGGGTTACCATATTTGCACAATCAAAAAAGAGGACACGGTGGGGGGGGGGAGGAGCCCCACTCTAGCCCCGCCCCTGCCCCGCCCCCATCCACTCCCTCCCACTTCCCACCCCGACTGCCCCCCTCAGAACCCCAACCCCCCCCGCTCCTTGTCCCCTGACTGCCCCCTCCCGAGAACCCCCCACCCTAACTGCCCCCCAAGA